GCTACGGCTGACTTGTCCGGATGTTCTAATCGTATATGCCGTTGATGTTCTTTCAACCTCGTGTCCACAGAACGGCCCGTCTGCCCGATGTAGACCTTGCCGCACTCACATGGAATTCTGTAAATTCCCGGTGTCCTCAGTCCCAGGTGATCTTTGACAGGCCGGAGAAAATTAGATATTTTCTTTGGGGGCAGGCCAACTGATTTGATGTTATGTCGGGACAGTACTCTGCTGATCCTGTTGAATATAGTCCCGACAAAAGGCAAGAAGGCGACAGTTCCTCTGCGGTCATCAGGTTGAATGCTGTTGGGTTGGCGGTTGAGGGCCCTCTGGATCTGCCGGTCGTTATAGCCATTGCGCTTGAAGATGTTCTTAAGGAACTCCAACTCTGCACGCAGACTCTCTTGATCGCACAGAGCTCTGGCCCTATGTACCAGTGTGGACAGAGCTGTCTGTCTGCTCTGAAGATGGAGGCGCTACGTTCCTCCGAAACGTCGGCCAAAACGAAGATTACACGGTGCCTAAACCCAGAAGACAACTTTCTTCAAATTCAATTCAGTTCAATTACATGAATAGTTTTTAACCACATTTTATTGTATAACTTTCTTTTTATAATAATGTTTTAATTTTATTGGTATTTTTATACCTTGTATTATTATAGTGTAACATAGTTGTCAAGTATCCAGCTCCACTGTCCCATCACATTGAAATGCAGTTCAATAGTGTGTGGATGTAGTAACAATGTATTTGCCTGATGATGGCTTCAAAAGCCAAAACATGTAGCTATAGTGATATTGACCTTAGACCATTTCATTGTTGTGTTACGATGGATCCCAATAAGGAGTTTTATATGATAAACACAACAGGATGCAACCAATGAAAATTTGGGTATCATAATTTGAATATCTTTGGTAGCTAAATATTATAAACGACCTCTGAAGTGAGTTGCACTGCGTATATGTTTTTCTATAAGTAATCAGCATCATCAGCACATACTTGTAACTCATGTTCCGGGCAGTCCCATGTAGTTTGAGGTAATAAGGTAGGATTAAAATTGATGATGCACGAGAAGATACTTGTCAAGTGGATTTGACAGAAATGGGATGTGGTATGAAATGTGCTTTGTTGAATGCTTGGGTTTTAATATCAGAGTGCTAGTTGTAGACTTCTTGGTTCTTTCAGTAGTAAAAGCTGTAATTTAATGGTATGAGTTGTGTTGTGCAGCTACTGGGATGACTGGGTGAGGCAGCCTGAACAGAGACGAAACCGGGCCTGTATTCGTCCTGAGATATCCAGGACAAGAACATTTGGCAAGATAGGGGTCAGCAAGTAAGTTTTGTGTTAGTTTGTAGAGGCTTAAACGTGGGAAGTCATTCATGTAGTTTCCACTTGATTTCTCTGATTTCTTTGGTGTTTGGTTGATGTAGAAAAATATACATGTGTAGCAGTTCTTGCCCTCTATCGTATCAGCAGTTATGTTATTCAATTTCTGTTAACAGGATAGATACTGTGAAATTTTTGTAACATGAATGTTGAATTTATGAATACTTATTTTTGTGAAATATTTTAATTCGTTATTCTCCTGTCAGTGTAGAATTCAATTTTTGAGTTATAAAATTAAAATGAACAGAAACCGAACTTCTTTGTGATCGGTTTAACAGAACAGAAATTGTATGTTCACTGAAATTCCAGTAGTGAACACGATTATGTGCAGGCACTTAACAGGTAGTATTTTTTCCACAGCAGAATTATATTCTGAAGGTAAGTAGCATATTGTTACATGCTGGATATCACAATATTTTTCAGATACTTGTTTTCATGTCACTCAATCTTCCATAGTCATGGACGTTTTCTCTTGGGCTGTCAGGTTCTTACCATCACCTCCAAGTACAGATTGGTATGTCTGCCTCTCACTACCAATTGCATGTGTACCTGTATATTTGTAGGTAAATTTTTTTTGAGGGGGGGAGAGAAAAGTAAAGGAGCAGGTGAAAGGGTGATGACTTTGACCAGCCCAAAAGAATTATTTCTGATCCTTATGATTGCCTTTTTTTGTTGCAGTGGCCACTTCTATGAGAAGCATCTGAAGTACATAAAACTTAATGAAAAGTTTGTGCCTTTTACTCAGAAGAACTTAACATACCTTTTGAAGGTAAGCAAGTTTAACACTTGCCACAAGCCTCATAGCTAACACAGCTTGCTATGCTTAAAGTAAGGTTGTATTAACAATTCACGATTAAACTTTCACTGTATAAACATTGAAGCACCCCTTCCTTTGACTAAATAGATATTCATTTAATTTAGAAATAGTCCTGTTACTTCCCATCATGATTTGTACTCAGTTTTGATCAGCACTGGACACTTGGACAAGCACTGTGTGTGTTACCTCAAGCTGTTTGGGTTTTATTGCAATTTTATTTCAGATTATTATGAAATCTAATATTGAAATGTCTTAAAGGGGGTGCATGGTAGCGTAGTTGGTAGAGGCACTATGTGACAAGCGAGAAGGTCACAGGTTATATTTCAGAAGAGGTTTTCAGAAGAGGTCATTGGATTTTTCAGTTGACCTAACCCTTCCAGCTGCACTATGGCCCTGGGGTTGACTCAGCCTGTATCATAAATGAGTACCAGGAATCTTTCTGTGAGCCAACTGTCCAGAAATTTGGGAGCCTTGACATCTGACAACCCTATGGGCCTTCACTGCCTGTTGCAGGGATAGCTTCACCTTTGCCTTCACCTTAATTAGAGTATTTTTGTGCCATTTAGCATGTTTTCTAAAACTAGATTCTCTCTCTCTCTCTATATATATATATATATATATATATACTGTAGTAATGTGTTTGCTACTGAAGATGCTGTTCGGATTGTTAATTGGTTTTATTAACAACCTACAAGTCGTAACTACAATTAATTGTAACACTGATGCAGGTTTACACCATTTAAAAACCATACACACCAATCTATTTACTCTATGTTCTGTAGTCTTCACATATTTACAGTATAACATGGGAGCTATACAGGTGTCACTGAATTACACACTCCCAATAACCAATGCCTTCTCAGTTATCACAACTATTGCTGATTATCACACATAAATTCTTCTAATCACGCATTCAGTTCTTCCTCCCGCGGCTGCTTCTACTGACTGACTTACTTCTGTTCTGCTGAATACTCACTCCTTAGTTATTCCAGTTTCTCTTATAAACCCTCAGTCGGACAGGTGGAAAATGCAGCTTGCCTCACTGTTGCGCGCCCGTCATGTTTACAGCAGCGTTGTTTGGCAATGCTGCTAAGGGTTGTTTACTGCTGCGTAGCAACCAGCACGGTTCGGCTCAGCTCAGCTTGGCACAGAGGAACGTCACTTCCTTACTGTTGCGTAACCTTGTTTCCACTGTTGCATAACTTGGTAACTGACTGTTTATCAAGAGTCTGTCTTTATGGTAACTCGTTCCACATCCCGTTGCCCAAGAGTGGTTTGACTTGTCACAGTATATATATATATATGTAGACACACACACAATATTGCTATCATGCACTAAGAAAATACTCTGCTGAGGTTGTGTATTTTAGATTATTATTGTGATCATCAATATTAGACTGCAGTGCACATTAATAATCAGGGTGATGCGGACTGAGCTGTGTGTTTCATCAATTTGCATATGCCGTGTTAAATTCTGATTAAAGTAATTATGACAGTACAGTTTTCTGTTTAGAGAGTGAAGTCATATTGACAGAGGAGGGAAAGCATTTTGAAATATGTGTGTAGTGTTTATGTGAACATGAAGCATATGAATAGCAGCACGCTGATTGTTTGCAGGATGATTTTGACAGGTTTGTAATGTGAATGGTTGGATGCAGAATAATTTTGACATCTGGGTGGTAAAAGAAGAGTATAATGTGAATTATTTATGCAGGATAATTATGACGTCCAGTTTGTGAAGCAAGTATATGAAAGCCTGGTGGTGACATACCAGGAGCTAAAGAGTGACTCTATTGTATCAGAAGGTTCTGTGCGTATCCCTTACCACACAAATGACATCTACAAGAGGACAGCCAAGTTGCTAGGTCTTATGGATGACTTCCGGGTGAGTGCTGGCCTTGGTGTTGAGTCTAGAATTATGATATTTAATTGAAAACCATGCTTTCAGTCAAGATGTGATTTTATACCTAAGAAACATTTGCTTGTTAAATTCCCTCCCGTGTCTCATCATATGTCTTTTTCTATAGTTAAAAAGTAAAGCATTCAAACACAGAGTAACGATTGTCAAAAACGGAAACAGTGAAAGTATCATGTAACAGATTTCTCATAGTTTGCTGTGATCAACCCTGTAGCAGAAAGCATTCCTGACATTCAGTCACAATACATTGAAATGATTCACAAGTAGAGGTACAGCTAGGATTGCCCTGACTCGTTGCTAATTTTCTTTTAGTTCAGAAAAAATTAGTTTTCTTTCTTGTCACTACATTTCTTTCGCGTCCCTATACTGTGCACTTTGCTTGGGTTGCAGAGTGGAGTCCCTCGCACAGGTTACCGAGGTGTTGTGAGCTTCCTATATAAGGGACGCCGTGTTTACTTGGCACCAAATGCAAATTGGAAAGGCTATGATCCAGGATGGAGCTAGCACCAGTTACCACAGAACAGCCTTCATTAGTTGTGTACATATGTGATTGTTGTGGCAGATGTGCCATGCTGACATACAGGACGTGCCTGTTCCTTCCCCACAGAGCACTAATGTGTAGTAAAAGGCATCAGGAATGTGGTTGATTGGTATGTCTTATTTATTAAGTACCATTCCCTCCATTAGTTTGAGTAACTGTGCTGATTGTTGTGCCGACACCTGTCTGCTTCTGTGTACAACCAGGTCCATGGTCTGGCGGAAGAACAGCTGCACCCCATAGGATGCTTTTGGCTCTTCTGTTTTAGAAAATAATATTACAGCCAACCCCTGATTATGTGACTTTGTTTGTGATTAATTCCATGACATAAGTAGTATTTATGTGCTGTTGAAAGTACATCCTTGTGACTTACTCTCTGTTGGGTACCGATTTCTACAAATATGTACCATCAAGGTGAGTGATTTTCTCTGCTAAAAGATTCATGAAGCTCCAATTAATGGTTATGAAAATTTTTACTTTAAAGTGATAATGGAAATAAGGACTCAAAACGAAGTAAGAAAAAGTAGTGGAAACAGATTTTATGATATCAGTATATAGAACGCATGAACAGAGCTGATTGAAGTTGTTTTAGTCATATTTAATATTACTGGACCAGGGCACCTTTGGTCTCTAGAAACACAGATTGATGTTACTGTTATTGTTATTCAAAATTTGAATTCTGAATTGGATGTCTAAAAAAGACAAAAATAACAATATTCGGTAGGTTTACAAAAACATTTGCATGGGTGCATTTGAAAACAAGTGATGTTCAGTCACCAGTACTTGTATTGAGACATTCTTTTTGTTGGTCTTGTTACATACAGTTAGTGCCTCGTAACTTTAGCCGCGCGGAAAGGTAAACGCTGTTGTGGAGCACGCAAAGCTGTACGCTTGCTGTGGTGACTTTCAGAGCTACTCTCTGAGCGGAAAACATTAGCTATTACTTCCCTGGCCTCACTCTGAATTGTTCTGTGCAATTGTCGGTGTGCCATGATAGTGACACGAACGCCACATAATACAATCACTATGACTGCTACCAAGAAACAAGCAACACAATGTACTATACACCTGACCACACTCCAAGACACTACATTCCAAACTGGTAGTACCCATGCTGACGTAAGCTGATAAGACTGCTCCTCCAGCCCTGCGAGAGATGGTATGACCCCTCTACCACGGCTAGATTTCCGACGAACTAACAGTAGCTTGTGAATCAATACCACCAGTTTATGTTGAATACAAAACCAATTTATCAGTATTGTTACTGAAGAAGAGTTGTGTATGAGTATATTGTCACACTTTGGTGACTGTGGATAGGGTTTGGGTCAGTAATTGGATCTGTTGAACTTTTACAACTTGTAATTACAAGTAAGGATTATTCTGTCACTGTTCTACACACTTCAAAAACCACAGTAGGATGCACTAGGTCTACCTGGTCTGTTACAGTCTTCACTAGCCATTGCTTGGTAGCAGATTCCAATGGCAGGCATTCCCCTTCATTTGGGTACCCAAACTATCCCTGACATCAGCTATTAGCTTCTCGCATCAACAGCTGACAACAGTTAAACCCCAGTGGTTGTCTGACTTACTGCTTTTCAAAAGCCAAAAGAGTTACTTTACAACTGGCAGTTTACTGCCAATCACTTGTCTTGGTGTCACACCCCTTCAGGATCACGACCAGAAATTTTTTTCAACTGAACCCTCTGATGAGTGGATGGAGTTGTCTCTTATGAACATGTTTGCCCTTTTGTCAAATATATGTATCACTTATAGCATGTTATTGAAAATTCTTTCTTTTGCACTGTATAGAAGTCCTCTGTCAGTACAGGCTTTACAAAGCAGATCGCGCCTATCATACGTATCTTATTCTACAGTAGCAGCTTAGTCACTTGAATGGTCTTAAGCTTGACCCGTGCCAAGTTTATATAGCTCTGGCATGGACTGCACAGAGAGCACCATTCCTCTGTTGCAGTGCAATTGTTGCATAGTGATGGCATGATATATTCCATTGTTGCATGCGCAGCCATCAACACAGACTGTGCAGAAATCACCATTGCTCTCTTGTTTACAGACCACTGCCTAGTAATGGCTGGTTGTTGTGACTCCACAATTCTTGCTTTGAGCAAATATGCCACAATATTTTAATTTGATATCACACTATTTCTAAATGTTTTATGAAAAATTGTATTGTTTCCTTTTGAAGATGAAAGAAAAGACATACTGCAGGAGTCCACCAGTACTGGTGTGTATGAAATGATAGTTCTCACTCAGAATGTCCATTGTTTCCTTGTGCACAGAGGAACATCCTGGCAGGTGTTGCACAATGTATGATAAGGTTGTTAAGGTGATGTAAACCTATTGTGTCACCATGGAGCCACATCCTGATGATTCACACCTTTCTGTGGGGAAGGGAACGGTAATACAGAGGATGAACTGAATGTCTGGTGCTTCTCTAACCAGTATGTGATGAATTAGTGCATCAGCATGTCTTGCCTGCCACTAGAGGGACATACTTGTGCGCTTCTAAACTGAAGCTTAATTTAGAAGTGTACCAACACATTGTGATAGTGAAGCACACACACGTGTAGCAGATGTCACATTCTTCCAGAATGTTCTCTTCTTCCAGTTGGCTTATCCCATGGCTCCATGTACAGTCAATTCCCACATTATAGTCACATTTTGCTGCCACAGTCAAATGTACTCAAGCCATTGTTCAATATGAAAATGTTTATGTGCTGTGTAATACCTTTGGCTCTTTTTTTGCTACATATCTTGACCTCCGACTCAAAGTTTTATTAAAAGATATGTAGTTTGGAAGCAGATTTATGGGCTTTAAGTTCCTCTTTGTAAGTGGAATGTGAGATGATACTGCAGACCTGGTAGTTAAGATGGATCCAGTTGAATTCAGGACCATGACTAGGCTGTGGTATGGTCAGACCAGTACAACTGATCATGTTAACTTTTCAGAACCAACATCTAACCATGAAAAAATGATGCATCATGTGCAAGATAAGCAACTGTGATGTAGGAAGGTGAGTGACATTATTAGTGGGAAATGACTGTAGGCATCTTGTTTGTTGCATTTTATCAGTGCACGATTTTGATTGCAGTCATTAGTCCAGTTACACAGAACAATAAATTTCAATTTTTTTTTTGGTAGATTATGTGAAATAAGCTGTTTTTGCTTAAAGCAGATATGCTGATCATAAAAATGACAGTCAGGAACATGTACTTGTTTTCTTTATGCAAGACATTGGAATGTTTATATATCACTTATTATACAGTTTCAAATAATGATTTACTTAAATCGGAATATAAACTTTTTAAATGAAATGTCATATTATCACTTTATGGCTAACAAAAATTATAACACTAAGAAGAAAGTAGAAACATGAAAATGTATGCTATTTTGGTTCAAAATTCTATACACAGAATGGTGACATAATGAAACATTTTTGTGTCCAGATTTGGAAGTAGCATATCAGAATTAATATAAGAACTTAGTTTTCATTCATGTTACTGTACCGTTGTTGGCAAGTGTTATTAGGTGATAAGGAAAGAACTCTTAAAATAACTGAGCTCATTCTGTGTGCATGTTGTGACGTCAGCAAAAACGTGGAACTTTTTAAGAAGAGAAAGGAACATTTGAGTTGCACCCATTTCCTCTGTGAAGAATTTGTGTTCCTGACCTCGTTGGATTCTGATGCACGTGTGGTGCTCTGAATTGGGGATGATACCAGAGTGTGATGCACATTAACCATCTCACAATCATGGTCTCACAAGCTCATGTAAATAAAAGTTCAGTTAGGTTTCTGTAATTTTAAGCTGTAAATAAGTTTAATTAAATGTCAAAGCACACAACAGTTTTCATGCATTGCTCACAGAGAGTAGCACTTCATAAATGACAAGTATTTTGAGTTTCTTTCCTCTGAATATATTATAACTTGAATGTGAGTGAGGAGTCATCTTATTTGATAACTGTGGTTTGTTGGTGCATAGTTCCCGCTGTATGGGGAAAACAACAGTCTTCAAGATATTACATTCTGCTGATACCATAGGAAGTGTGTGCTGATTCTAATAGAATGTCTGCTTATAACACTGTTGACTATTTATTGAATGAATAAGAGATCACTATTTCAGTAATATAAAAGATACTTTTATGGGACATACTGCATATATATTCTGACAGCAGAGTTTCCATGCACTTGCATCTGAACAGTATGAACACTGTATGTAACAGGTCATCCAGGTTAAATGGTAACTGAACATACATATGTTATGAGGAGCCCGTCTATCCCATCGGCAAAGCTGTACAACTCTGTGATGTTACAGAGTTTCCAGCAATTCTGTTGTCATGGACAGGCAAGTTATTTACAGCATTTTCAGACCAACTTTAAATTCCTGCAGATGCTCTTGTTTTAATTGAAATATACAAAACTGGTCTGGGCATTATTGCATGAAGTTCAGATGGATGTTGATTTGTTTCAACACCAGTGAACTTTTGGAAAGCTGAGTGAATTAGGTCTGATGGAAATATCTGTCACTACAGGTACAATTTATAGTCTTCCTTTCTGTCTGCAGAAGCCAATAACATTGTTGCATTGTACCAACCGAGTCATATGACCTTGTATGGGATGTGAAACACTTGGATCATGGCATAATCATTTAAAAAGAAATTAACTTAATTACTTTCTCCTTGCTCAGCTTGCAGTTCACAAGTACATGGTGCACCTTAGTTCAGTGATGGCTTTAAGTGTTTTGTGCAATGACAGAACCAGTGTGCACACTGGGTACAGTCTCTTATGACAGTTAAGTCACATAAGGCAGTAATATGTCGCATATTTCTAATGGAAGTGATTTATAAAGTGAGTCTTCAGAAGAAACTGAATAATTAGATGCTATTTCCAGATTGAAAGAAAGGGTGCAGTACCATCTTGCAGTGTCTTTTTAAGTTGGGCAAACAAACGGTTTGTACTCCTGAGAACACGTCATATGTGAAAGTGCTGGTCTGATCTGCTATAAGCATTCTCCTCCTTATAAAATATTCCGGTGCGTAAGGCCGACAACCTTACCGTCGTATTTGAGCCGATTGTCTAGGTAGTGTGGGACCCTCAACGTCTGACACCCCTATGGGCCTTCATGGCCTGGTACAGGGATAGCTTTTTATTTGATAGAGCATCATACAAAATATTGTACCAAGACCTGAGTTTTCATCTATGTAAAATTAAAATTGTTTGGCACATACACAATGAAGATTAAAAAATGTTTTGGTATTCTGAATGATAATCCATGAAAAATGCAGAGTAGGTAATGCACAGTGAAAATGTTACAGTTTGGTGCAGGATAAATGCATTCATTGCTGTGGAAGCTTCTTTCTGATGATAATGGTTATGTGATAGTAGTAACATCTGAACAATGAATACACATGTTTGAGACATTTGTGCTTAATGAATGATGTCATCTCCCAGTCATTGTAAATAATATTTGGTGCACTGATATGGAACAGAGCATATATAGCTGGAGTTTCCATGAATACACTGAGTACAGCGTTTTCCCAGACGTTCCCTCATGTGCTCATATTGTTTGACCACTGATGACAACAGAACTGAATAGTTGTGAATTGTTCTGGAGGACTATTTGAAAATAAAGTTTTGGAACATATGTGGTGTGTTCAAAAAGTATCGAACCTTTGGTCGGCAGAAATACATTTAATGATTTGGAGGTACAAAACCGTAATCCCCTTCAAAGTAGTCGCCTTGGTAATGCACACACTTCTCCCAGCGCTTCCGCCATTGTTGGAAACACTTCTGGAACATGTCTTTTGGAATGGTGATCAGCCGGGCCGTCGCATTCCGCAGGATGTCTTCTCTTGACTCAAATCGGGTTCCTTTCAGCGGCATATTCAGCTTGGGAAACAGCCAAAAGTCACATGGAGCCATGTCGGGGGTGTAGGGAGCCTGACAAACCACAGGGATGTTGTGTTTGGTGACGAAAGTCTGAATCAGATGTGCAGAATGAGCGGGTGCGTTATGATGGAGCTGCCAAGTTTTGCTGCCCACAGATCCGGTCGTTTGCACTGCACAGCATCACGAAGGCGACGTAGGAGCTCCTGGTAGTATTCCTTTGTGATGGTTTGGCCTTGTAGCTCGTACTCATGATGCACAACCCCACTGGAGTCGAAGAAAACGGCCAACATGACCTTGACATTGCTGTGGACCTGCCGTGCTTTTTTTTGGCCTCGGAGATGTCGGATGTTTGCACTGTGACGACTGCATCTCAGTTTCCAGGTCGTACCCATAAACCCACGACTCATCGCCTGTAATCACGATTTTCAGAAAGTTGCGGTTACTGTTTGCATTGTCCAGCATGTCCTGTGCGATTTTCAGACGGCGTTGCTTCTGCTCCATTGCTAGCAGTTTCGGTACAAATTTCGCGGACACTCTCCTCATGCCCAAATCGTCGGTCAAAATTGAATGTACCGATCCAGTGCTTACCCTTATCTCGTTCGCAAGTTCTCAGACTGTGATAGGACGATCCTCCATGACCAAAGTCCGCACTTGCTCAATGACATTCTCATTTCGGCTTGTTGAGGGTCTGCCTGAACGTGGTTTGCTGTCCACTGATGTGCGGCCATCTTTGAAGCAGTTGTACCACTCCTTTATCCATGAGTTGCTCATGCCATCGTCCCCGAAAGCCTGTTGAATCTTGTGAATGGTTTCCACTTTGGTATCGCCAAGCTTTTGGCAAAATTTGATGCAATATCGCTGCTCACGTTCTTCAATCATATTACACCTTACTGGAATCCGAAGAGCGCTCGCTACATGTCCTCACTCATAGGCCGACTGCCAGAAACTGATGCTTTCTGCGGGCGGGAAAAAATTCATGACTGCGCATGAATATCCCCTCCACATCTCCACCGAAGGGAGCCTCCTGCGCTTCATTGGTTTACGCGGGAAAAAGAAGGTTCGATACTTTTTGAACACACCATGTATATACAGTATTCAACAGTTGAAAACTCACATTTGGAGCAAAATATCAGAAGTATAACCAGGCGTATGTGATGGAAACAAACGTGAACGCAAAACTCTTCATAATGGAGGAAGCTGTTTATATGAAATAATCTTTCAAAAGTTATGTTACAGTAAACTTCATACTATATACTGTTCCAGTAATATTACAATAATTTATATTGCTTGTGTTTGCAAAGTATTTGATGATGGAAAGTTGATAAGTGAACTAGGCTGCACCCTGTACAAGTATTTCAGTCACAGGAGAGGGGTGATGAGTTTTAATATAAAGTTATGATTCAGAAAGATCCAAAGTTGAAACAAAATACAATAAACCTGGATTTGTGGTGGAGAAAGTGGCACTGGGCAGGTTTTCTCAGAGTACTTAGGTTTCCCGTGCCAATCTTCATTCCACAAATTGCTCCACAATCACACCACTAGCAATAAAAAAAATATACAAAGAGCATAAAAAAATGCTGCATTTTTAGCCGCATTCAAGATGAAATCCAAGACATGATCCCTCTGACAAACTTCAAGATGGACAGTTCAATTAAAATTTCAACAGTGGTTCAAATTTGATAGTCAAACTGAATATCACTTTGAAGTGTCTGTGTTTTATTTAGTTATACAGATTTTAAGTAAATTGTTTCATACTATTTTTACTCCCTTCAGTCTTATTATGTAAGTACAATATTTTTGTATAGACATTTTATATTTTCATGGGTAGTTTCAGACTGAAAACTTTTTTATCCTTTTGTCTCTATTTTATAGACATATGTTAACTTCACCTATGCTTTGCAGGATGAGATTTTTATAACATTTCAGTTTTGAGTTCTTTTATGTTATAATTTTGGGTGCATTGTCCAATGAGTAGCATCACGTGTGCTTTGCAGGATGAGATTTTGGTGGAATTTAATTTTTGAGTCCTATGTTACATTTATTTTAATGTTGAATACATTGGCATTGAATACCTTGTCTGTATGAAGTTCCAGGTGCACTGTTAATTATGCTTATATTGACTGTTTTGATACATCGCATGGTCAGACCTGATTTGTATTGTAATCTATGTTCATTGCATTTGATGGGAGGGAATTGTGCTGCCTTCTGTCTTGTAAGCCATGCATCATGACTTAAATGGCAGTTGTGTTGAGGGTGGCAATGCATGTTCATTCTTGATCTCTTATCTATAAGTAAACATGTCTAAGCACAGTTGACCAACACTTCTTTGTGAACCTGTGTAACTTTCTGTCCATATCAAACACTGGTGGATATCTAATGCAACAGAGGCATTTCAAAGCTGTAATTATTCTGGGTGTTTAGATTTTAAACAAGATTACTATGTTAGAAGGGCAGATACATTTTATCATTACTGCATTCTGTAAAGGAAATAGTTAATATGTCATGCAAAAACATAAGTAACCTACCTTAAAGATCATGGTAGTTGGAATATAGGGGAAACATGGAGAAAACAAAATAAACCTTCATGTCTTAATTGGATTGCAGGTTCATTCATCTGTAATCTGTCAGATGACAGGTCCACAGTCTCTTCCAAAACAGTTCCTCCACTTGATGTGATCTAGAGCTTTCTCCTTCAAATGAAAATAACCTCTTCTGTCCTCAAGGTCATCCAGCATCTTACGTCTTCTTTCTCGTTTTCTGGTCACTTCTATCCGCCCCTCTATCTTTCCTACAATAACTTCTTTAAGGAGGCAGTTACTGCATAAGATATGACCAACCCAGTTAGCCTTCTGTTTTCTTATTTCATGTAGGATATTCCTCAGCTCACTGACTCTAATTAACACTTCTTCATTTCTCACATAATCGGTCCAACTGATCTTCTCCATTCTTCTCCAACACCACATTTCGAAGCTTTCCAGTTTCTGATCTACTGCCCTAAGTGTCCAAGTTTCAGCCCCATACAAAGCGATGCTCCAAACATAGCATTTCACTAGTTTCTCAAATATAAGCCCAATTTGCTGGTAAAAAGATTCTTCTTCTTGCTAAATGCAGCTTTTGCCATGGCAATCCTAGATTTAATTTCATATGTACACCTTCCATCATCTGTTAACAAGCTACCCAAATATTTAAAACATTTCACATTCTCCAGTTGTTTTTGGTCTATCTTTATTGTGACTGGGGTTGGTTGTCTCGAAATTTTCATTACTTTTGTTTTCTCCACATTCATTTCCATGCCATAGCACCTTCCAATTTTGATTAGTCTATCAATCATACCCTGTAGCACAGTTTCTTCCTTAGCCATTAACACCAGGTCATCTGCATATTTCACAGTTTGAATAATTTTCCCTCCTAATTTGAAGTCTCCGAGCCCATCCAGAGCTTCCTTGGTAAGGCATTCGCTGTACAAGTTGAACAGAATTGGTGATAAACAGCATCCTTGTCGAACTCCTCTTCCAATCTGCACACTTCTTGTCTCCCCTCTGTCCAGTCGTACTCTAACTTTCTGACCCATGTACAATTTGCTAATCAATCTTCTTTCATGCCAATCGATACCTGTTTCTTTCAGGATCTGCATTAATTTGGTCCAGTTTACCCGGTCAAATGCCTTCTGCCAGTCTATGAAGCAAACACACAGTTCTTCATCTATCTCCAAAGTTCGTTCTGCTATAATTCTCATCATCCCAATTGCGTCCCTGGTTCCATTTCCTCTTTTAAATCTAAACTGATCTTCTCCAAGTATATCCTCTATTTTCCTTTCATTTCTTCTTTTAAGTACCTTTGCTGTATGTGCAATAAGGCTTATGCGATGGTCGCTGCATTTTGTAGCTTTTGTCTTTTTCTTTAAGGCAATCATTGTCACTTCTGTAAAGTCCTTGGGCCACTCTCCAGTTTCATATATGGTGTTCATTAGTTTTGTCAGTGTTTTCAAACCACCTTCTCCCAGTAACTTGAGCACATCTCCAGGTACATCATCATCTCCTGTAGCCTTTCCCTTCCTCATTTCCTTGATAGCTTTTTCCACCTCACTTTGTAAAATATATGGTCCTTTCTCGTCTGTATCTACTTCTTCTTCCGGTTCAACTTCTAAGGTTTCTGGCCGATTAGGTCGATCATATAGTTCTGAAATATAATTTTCCCAAATTTTCAGCACTTGCCT